CCGCGTTCATCCACTTGTTGCGCTCGAGCAGAAACACACTCAAACCGACGCGCGTGCGCACTGCGTTGGGCTGGGTGCGCGGTTGCAACTGCAGCGCGCAATCTTGAACCTCCCGCTGCGCCACGATGCCGTCGTCTGTGAATGCGTCGCCTGACCACTCCACCACCGCATCGACCTCGCCATTGCCCGGGGCCGAAGAAGTCGGTACCGAAGCCGCCGCTGCATGATCTGGGATGCGTGCGATCTGATTCACCAGCAATGGGTTGTAACGCAACGTTTCATGGCTCCCCGAACTCCCCATGCACGTGGGCTTAAGAGGGTGCAAGCCGCCGCGGTGAACATGAGTCACAGCCGCTTGCATCATGAGGTCTTCCCTGGAAGCGTAGGACATATTCTTACCTCTCGTACCCTGCCGTGTAGCCCTATGCGTCACTTGTTTGTTGAGCCTCTCCACGAAGTCGATGCCGTACGGGTGGGATCTGAAGTCGTTGAGCAGCATTGCGTAGCAGTCGAATGACAGCAGGCCTGGTAGACTTGGGTACAGGCGACGGACACCGCGACTGTAGACGTCGAGCACGTCGTTGTCAGCATTGAGAAGCTCATTCGCGATGTTCGTTTTGTGGTCCTCAGTATACTTCTCATTCACAAAGGCATACAACTTGTACGGCCATGATGACAGGCGGAGCTCGTACCTCCTGTAAAGCGCACTCGACAGACGAAGGATCTGGCTTCTCGTCCACCTCTGGAAGGGCTCCGAGTCCATCGGCGCCCCCGTAGCTTCCACAACTGTCCATGGGTGATGCGCCGTTGCCCTGTTTGTCCACACCATCAGCAGATCCACGAGGAAGTGGAAGCAGTCGGCAACCTTGCTGCCATGCGGATCAAGCAGCCTGTCCATTTTGCTTGGCTGAGATGGGTCATCTTGAATCGGATCCTCCATCAATGGATAGAGCAAGTGCCTATCAGCGGCATCGAGGATAATGACGTAGACTCCCAACTGTCATACCATCTCGTCCGATTGGAAATACTCTTTGATTTTTTTTTGACCTGATGCGGTTGACCATCGCGAAAAAATCGTCCCTGATCTCGCCGTCTACCCCCATTTTGTCGCCAAGCTCGCCGTCGCCTTCGTCATCTTTGAAATCATTGCAAAAGCAATCCAGACCAACTCGGTATATGATGCGCCTGAGGATCGTCTGTTTGAAATTGGGCAGGGTGTTGGTCCACCTGCTCTCTGCTGGCACTTTGTCCTGGCGCCCCCACAGTGCGTCGGTCACGGCGGCCGTGACCTTCGCCTTTGTCTCTGCCTCGCTCTTGCAGCATGGCTGCCCTGTCGCATCGTCGTGGCACCAGTGCACCCACTTCTCCTCGCGCCAGTCGCCATTCACAACGTCGCACAGGTGTCGGAAGGCGTGCCACTGCTTGGAGTGGCCAGTCTTACGTTCATGGTGCTTGGCATTGAAATTGAAAATCGTGTCCACCAAGTGAAAAAAGGAATACTCACCGGCTGGGGACCTGCCGACTTGCCGCTTGCATTTCTGGTTGACTAACTTCTCGATGCTCTTCGTGATTCTAGTCGCAGTGGTCTGCAGCTTCTGGATCTGAGCGATGCCGTAGTGTCTCATGATATGTTGGCGGCAACCCTTGATCTGTAGTTTAGCCCTGTGGTCAATATGAATACCACAGCAATCAGGCCAATATAGAATATTGGGCGCCTTGGGCAGCTCCTCGTGCTGTTTCCCCCAGTTCTTCATCATTACAACGTTGGAACCTGCTTTGTCGCCCATGGCCATGAACGTATATGATGTCACCTGATTGCTTAAAGCGGCCATCTCTGCAGCATCATCGATCCGAAATCTCCGTGGAATCCCCTGCTGCACTCCTGGGTACATGCATTGAGCTGATGTCCCCTCGACCGCTCTCGGCCTCACCAGCCAATACTCTCTGAATCCTCGTGCCAAGGGCCTCCGAGTGTCGAACAAGCACCACGTGACGCAGCCCCTCTGGACCAGCGTCGGCTTGGCGACGGTCCTGCTGCCCATGAACTTTTTGGTAGGTTTCCATCTGAATTTGGCAGCGACCTCGTCCCACAAGTTGCAGTAAGAGACGTGAACTCCCCGATGGCCCTTCTCATCGCGCACTCCTTTCAAAGCTGCCTTCGATTTTTCCAGCATGGCCTGCAAACTCTGCTCCTGCCTCCTATGAATAATCCTCGTGGCTGCGAGTATGAGCCGTCTGTGCTTGACCCCTATGGTGAGATTTGACTGCACAGGCAGATGAGCAGCGCGGCAAGCTATTGTCATGTCACTTGGGAGGACGGGTGCCTTTCTCTTGCCGAGCTGCTTCGTCTTGGGATCTCCAAGCATCTTGGCTGCATCGGGAATCATCGTTCGAATGGCCTGCAGCGTATGACGGCTTTCAGCTCGTTCGTCGTCTCGTTGCTTTCTCATTTTATTGAAACGGTTCTTGGACAAGAATATCCGTGCGTGCTCGATGTGGCTCTTCGACCTCCACTGAAAACGAACATTCCTCGGGTTCAACACTGGTGGTAATGCAGCCAATGCATAATCTATGCCCTCATGACCTGGCGCTGCACCCATGGCAGGCGGCGCCTCAGGCGCTGGTGCAGCACCTGGAGCAGCGCCATCTGGTGCCCCACCTGGTGCAGCACCTGGAGCTGGCACGACATCTCTCTCGGGCGGAGCTGGAGGAGCTGCGGCGTCATCAACAACGATATCTATATCTGGGATGTCCAGTAGGCCGAATTGCAGCACATCGTCCAGCTCCATCCGCACCACGTGCGGCTGGTAAGCCAAAATGGATACGGAAGAATTGCGTTTGCTTGAAGTTTGATGTTTCTGTTATTTGTCCCAGTTGTTGACGGGCTTGAATACACAATGCCCATGTGTCGCTCGAGTGTCACATGTTACCACTTGCCCCCCAAAAAATGGCCGCAGCTGTTACCACATATAGGATACATCATCATTTCCATCGCCGTTAGGACCCCCGCATTCTCTCGATCGCCCCCCCCTCGTTTCGCCCCTCCTCCACCCTCATCCGCGTTTCTCTCCTAGACTTCCTGCCCCTCTCCGAGCCTACCCGTCTCCCGTTTTATCCGCCCACCGCGCCGTGCGTGCGACTCTTCTGAAAGGTTCGGCGACGAGGAGCACGATGCTATGGACGACGACGACGTCATGTATGGCAACGATGTCATGGAAGCCAACCATACTAACTACAGAAATAGTGGTACGTAATTGGAATCCCTGTGGCCTCTTTTCAAAACACTGCTCTCGCCTGCCCCCGTCGGGGCCCGCCTCCACGAGACAAGTCTGGGCGTGCGATTCGGCGAAGCCGTTTGATTTCTGGGGCGCACTGGTGAATTGAGATCATGGGAAGCTTATGTGTTGGTGCGGATATGGTCTGCTTGTGCTGTTGTTGTTGGTGTTGCTATTGGTCGTGCTGCTAATTGGATTGCTCGTTGTGTTGTTGATGTGCCGCTTTTGATCCATTTCAAAGCTCTGCTATCACATTGGTTTGACACTCAAATAGCATAGTCTATATTGTCATGGTGTCCTATTGTGTGCATGATCGCCGAGATGTGATCCAAATCCTCGCTTTAGTTTCGAGTTGATCTAAATATTCTCGCTCCAGTTGCAAGTTGATCCTCCATCCTGCGTCGCCACCCGTCCGACCCCAGGGACCCCCTCTGAACGCCCTATGCAATGAACCCCGATCTCTGAGGGATAGACGAAGTGAAGTCTGGGGACTGTTTTCTGACTATTTTTGAGCATTTTGGGGAGTATTGTTAAAGTAGTTTCTAATTTCTCGCCCCAGAGCCCCCTGTCGGGCGGACAGGCCCGACTTAAAACTAGGGGCAACAAGAGCAGGCGGGGAGGAGACGGGAAGCAAGGGGAGGAGGGGTGCCGAGGGATGCACGGAGGCGAGGCTCGAGCTGTTCGGGTTGTGTCTGGTGCCTCTGGAAAAGTTCTGGGGGCCTCTCCGCCGCCACAGCCCAGACAATCCGGCTGCTCCAACGCTTTCGACGCGTGGGCCCTGGAGGACTGGACCACTTCCCCGAGGCCGGTTTTGCGTCCTGAGCCGCTTGCTGGCGCTCCCGGGGCCCAGCGAGGGCGGAGGCCGAGCACGGCTGAAAACCGCCCGCTCCAACGTGCTTTTTGGGGGAGCGTCGGATCTCTGGGGCTGAGAGATGCCCTGATCTTGGTCCAAGTGCACCCCGGGGGAGTTCGAGAGGGTCGGAGGAGGAGATGGAGGAAGAGGAGGAGTAGGAGGAGGAGGACGGAGGAGGACGGAGGAGAACGGAGGACGAAGGAGGACGAAGGAGGACGGAGGAGGAGGAGCAGGAGGAGGCAGGAGGAGGGAGGAGGAGGAGGGAGGAGGAGGAGGAGGAAGGAGGAGGAGGAGGAGAAGGAGGAGGAGGAGGACGGAGGAGGAGGAGGACGGAGGAGGAGGAGGAGGAGGAGGGAGGAGGAGGAGGACGGAGGAGGAGGACGGAGGAGGAGTTCGAGAAGGTCGTGCTCGAGGAGCAGGGCCCTCGACTCCCTCGGACGCCCTGCTTCCTCGGTGCGCCCTCGGCCCTGCTTCCTCGACATGTCTCGGCCTCCTCGAGACACGCCGCGCCAGACCGGAGAGGCTCCTCGAGACCTCGGCCTCCTCGAGGCACACCCGCACGCCTCACGTCGGCCCTTCGTCGACGTCTCGGCCTCCCCGAGGCACGCACGGACCGGCACGCCGCGCCGGACTCGAGGGCGGGTCCCGGAGCCCCGACGTCATGGTTTTTTATAGCGAGGTCTCGACCCATTCACTGGGACCGGTTGCCGGTTCCTCATCCTGAGTCGTTTTCTCATCCTGGGAACCGGCACCGGCTGACGGTCCCGAAGGCAGGTAAGGGCCTCCAGGGGCCGAAAACATGGAAAAGCCTCAAGTCATGATCTTGTTCATCACCCGAGGGGGTCGGGGGTTGTGGCTCGCCCTCCCTCGAGGTGGATGGAGGTCTGCGGCGCCGCGGTGCTCAAGCGCTCCAGCAGGGCGTCGTTCCGCGACTACGCGGCGCTGGAGCCCGGCGGCCGCGAGCTGTACAAGGAGGCCGCCGACGCCCTCGGAAGAGCGGGCTGGACGAGAGGGGGGGATTGGGACAGGGTGAAGTCGGGCCCGTCCCCCTACAGGGGGATTGTCGACGAAAAATAAAAATAAAACATACCCCATATTCAAACATTAATCCAAACATAGTCTGGGGGTATTGTTTGAGTATTCTTTATTTTTCGCCCAAAATCCCCCTGTATGGGGGACACGCCCGACTTAAGGACAGGGGGGGCTACGAAACCTGCTGCATGCAGCTGGTTTCGGCCCCAGCGAGGGGCCCATTCCTCGATACGTAGCCGCCTCTGGCGCCAGGAGGCGCCGGGGAAATCAGCCACGCGGGCTGATTCTCAACCTTCCCCTTTGCGATCCCCCCCTTCCGCCCGGCGCGAGAGGAGCGCCAAGCAGGGCTGGCGGCGGCCCCTCGCGCGTGGCGTTCCAGGGTGAACGCCGCTGGTGGCCGGGCTAAGCGGCCGACATCCCCAGCCCTCCTCGGGCAATGGAGGAAATCATGACGGGAGGCTTTTCCACATGTTCGGCCTCTGGGGGCCCTTGCCAGGCCTCGGGGCCGTGCAGAAACGACTCAGGACGAAAAACTGGCCCAGGGGAATGGGTCGAGACCTCTGAGGGTCGACGTTACGAAGAAGTCATGACGTCAGTAGCCTGGGATCGGCCGACATCGGGCAATCCTGCGCGATCGACAGGCCGCGGCCGTTCAAGGGCGAGTCCGGGCACAGCAAAGAACCACAGCCACAGCTGGGCGGATCCTTCGAGAGGGCCCCGCGGGAGAGATACCACCGACCTCGACAGGAGCATTTGGCCTAACTCTTGTGTTCGAACTCGCCGCCCTGGGACTCTACATGGACCACAACCAGTACGAAGCTGGTTTCGGTGCTCCGAACATGTTTGGCATTTGGAAGACATCCCCCAGGGTGTGTCCTCGATTCGGGGGCCAGGTGCGAACCCTACCCCCACCCTCCCCCTCAGAAATCGTGGGGGGTAAGGGGTAGGGTTCGCACCTGGCCCCCTATCGATGTGTTTGTGGTCGCCTGCTGTCTCGCAGACGAAGCGGTTCCCGCGGTGTCAGAGAGGCCAACGCCGAGGCCGCCACGGCGCGAGGCCCCTGCCGTGCACTCCTGCACCGCGCCTGGCCCAGCCGCCGGAGCTCCGACGCTGGTGTTTTAATTTGTTTCGCCCCTGGGCTCCGGGAGCTCTCGATCCGAGATCGACGATCTCGGCCAAACGCTCGAGACTCGCCAAGCACTCGAGACTCGGCAAGCATTTCCACCTCGAGGCTCGCCAAAAGCGCTTCCAGCGAAGGCGGCTGTCCCGAATGCACTGTGGAATCTCATCAGTCGATCTCATTTCCCCTGGGACAAGATGTTCGCTCTGGCCAGTGCGTGGGTGGCCCCCGCAGGGGTGCCCGAACACTGCCCCTGCCCTGCCCCCCCCCCCCCCCCGTGTTTTCTGCTCGTGGCCCAGCCCCCTCCTGCCTCCTGCCTCCCCACGCCGCTTCCTCCCCTCCCTGCCTCCTGCCTTCCTCCTGCCTTCCTGCCTCCTGCCTTCCTGCCTCCTGCCTTCCTCCTGCCTTCCTGCCTCCTGCCTCCCCTCCCTGCCTCCTGCCTCCTGCCTTCCTCCTGCCTCCCTCCCTCCCCCCCTGCCTCCTGCCTCCTCCCCCTCCTGCCTTCTTCCCCTCCCTCCTTCTTCCCCCTCCCTCGCGGTGTCTGTCTGAGATCTGGCCAGGCAGGGAAGGGGGGAGGGATCGCAAGAGTCGTCCAGAGTAGCTCCACGAGCTCCCGATGAGGATGCTATGCTGATAGTGTTGATGATGTTAATGAAGATGATGATGATGCTGATGATGATGATGATGATGCTGATGATTATGATGATGATGATGATGATGATGATGATGATGCTTATGATGCTGATGATGATGGTGATGCTGCTGCTGATGACGATACTGATGATGCTGCTGATGATGATGGTGGTGGTGATGATGATCTGATGTTGGTGATGATGCTGCTGATGATGATGCTGATAACGATGATGCTGATGATGATGAGGATGATGGTGTCGATGTTGATGATAAGGATGCTGTTGAAGATGATGGTGATGATGATGCTGTTACTGGTGATGATGATGGTGATAGTGATTGTGATGGTCCTGATGATGCTGATGCTGATGCTGATGCTGATGCTGATGATCCTGACAACGATGATGAGACTGAAGATGATGACGCTGATAATGATTAGTATAATGACAGCGATGATGCTGAAAGGATGGTGATGTTGCTCATGATGATGATACTGATGCTGCGTATGATGATGATCGTGGTGGTGTTGATGATGATGCTGATGGGTGATGATGATGCTGATAACGATGGCCGGTTATGATGAGGATGATGATGTTGATGTTGATGGGGATGTTGTTGATGATGCTGGTGATGATGATGCTTGTGATGATGATGCTGATGCTGATGGTGCTGATGCTGATGCTGCTGATGCTAATGCTGATGATTATGACGACGATGATGATACTGACGATGATTTGGATGCTGATGACGATGATGATGATGATGATGATGAGTAGTTTAATGATGATGATGATGATGTTGATGCTGATGGTGGTGATGATGATGCTGATGCTGATGATGCTGCTTATGATGATGATGCTGCTTATGATGATGCTGCTGATGATGATTATGATGACGATGATGATGACGATGACGATGATGATGATTATGCTGATGGTGATGCTGCTGATGCTGATGATGATGATGATGATGATGATGACGAGGATGATGATGATGATGATGATGATGATGATGATGATGATGATTATGATGATGATGATGATGATGATGATGATGATGCTGCTGCTGCTGATGATGATGATGATGATGATGATGATGATGATTATGATTCTGATTATGTTCTGCTGATGAGTGTAGTGATGTTGTTCTCTGGTGTTGTGCCGCTGCGTGTTCGTCTGCGCTTGGAGAATGGGAGGAAAAGGGGTCGGGCACGGGGAGTGGAAGGAAAGGGGGAGAAGAGTGGGTGGAAAGGGGGAGGAAAGGGGGATGAAGGGGGGACAGGTGCATGGGCAAGGGGGATGGAGGGGGGAGGGGTCGCCAGAGTCGTCTGGAAGAGCTCCACGAGCTCCCATGGCCCATGCCCCTCCCTCAAGACCTTCGGCGTCATGGGTTCGCGCATTGTGACCCCCCCCCCCAGAGGTTTCGATCCCTTCCCTGGGGCCAGCGAGGCCAACCTAGAAGCCTAGAATCCCAGAATCGTGGAACCCTTTCCCTCTCCGAGGCCACCGAGACGATCGAGCCGAGGCCGGGGAGGGGAGGAGGAGCTGGGGCTGGAGCCAGGGCTGGAGTCAGGGCTGGGGCTGGGGAGGAGGCAGGGAGGGAGAGAGGATGAGGAGGAGGAGGAGGAGGAGGAGGAGGAGGAGGAGGAGGAGGAGAAGCAGGGAGGAGGGAGGAGGGAGGGAGGATGGAGGAGGGGGCGTTCACCTGTCCCTGCGCGAGGCCAAGCTAGTTAGAGTCTTAGAGTTCTATAATCCTTTTTTCCTCGATGGACGATCGAGACCGTCGAGGCGACCGATACGATAGACAGTCCTGCAATCCTCCTCGAGGCCATCGAGACGATCGAGCGGGACGTGCCCCGAACGCTGCCCGGCTCGTTCCGGTTCCGGCTGTGGCGCGACTTGCTCGGCGACCACGGGCGGGGGGTTGGCGGGCGTCGCGGGGCACACTCTGGGCCTGAGGAATGATCCCCTTCCCCTCCACCTCCTCCCTTCTCCCCTCCTCCTCCGTCCTCCTGCTCCCCTCTCCTCCTCCTCCTCCTCCTCCACCTCCACCTCCACCTCCTCCTCCTTCTCCTCCCCTCCTCCTTCTCCTCCTCCCCTTCCTCCTCCTTCCTCCTGTTCCCTCCTCCTCCTCCTCCTCCTCCTCCTCCTCCTCCTCCTCCTCCTCCTCCCCCTCCTCCTTTCCTCCTCCTCCTCCTCCTTCCATCCTCCTCCTCCTCCTCCTCCTCCTCCTCCTCCTCCTCTTTCTTCTCCTCCTCCTCCTCCTCCTCCTCATCCTCCTCCTCCTCCTCCTCCTCCTCCCTCCTCCTCCTCCCTCCTCCTCCCTTCTCCTCCTCCTCCCTCTCCCTCCCTCCTCCTCCCTCTCCTCCTCCTCCTCCTCCTCCTCCTCCCCTCCTCCTCCTCCTCCTCCTCCTCCTCCTCCTCCTCCTCCTCCTCCTCCTCCTCCTCCTCCTCCTCCTTCCTCCTCCTCCTCCTCCCTCCTCCTCCTCCTCCTCCTCCTCCTCCTCCTCCTCCTCCTCCTCCTCCTCCTCCTCCTCCTCCTCCTCCTCCCACCCCTTCCCGTTGGGGTAGACAGTGTCTCAAGAGGCTTACAGTCAACCTGGGATCGGCAGCCTTCCCATGGGTACCTTTGCATCCCTGCCTCCTCGGTCCATCCCTGGCCACTTTCGTTAGCCGCGCCGCGCTCGAAAAGCTTCGAGACTGCCTTCCAAGGCCCTTACATCCTTATCGTGCGTCCTTCTGATACGAGTCGAGTGTGCGCCATTCCACCGACCCCTAGAAGATGATATATATATATATATATATATGTATACACATACAAGACGTCAGTGGCGATTCGCGCCATGCACCTTGATCAGTTGATGTTCGCACGCGGGCGGCGTGCGTGCGCGTGCACATACGCGCGCAAGTGCATGCACGCCATACACATCTAGCATTATATTTATATATAGACATGTAGGTGCGTATACATACGTATGTGGGAATATTGCTGTACATCATATATATATATGTATAGATAGATATACACATACAGATCGATGCTTGCGCATACATACATATATCACGTCTACCTGGGCAGGTCTACGTGCACACCGATGCATGTCTATATACATGTACGCGGTCGTGGCCCAAAAGGGGGGGCCAGCAACGCAGTGGAGGGCTCGCGAGTGCCGAAAGACTTGGGTAGGAGACGGCATGGAGGACACGGCAGAACGTGGAACGGCGACCTGAGCTTACCAATGACCGTGTCTTTGCGACTATGGAAGGTGCCGTGTGAGGGCCTCGCAGCGGGGCTCGATTATCTCGACGCTGAAGTTGTTTTGCGCCGTCGCACGCTCTTGGGAGACCTCGGGTTCAGAGTGTTAACGTCACGTGGACCTTATTGGGGCCTCCCGGAGCCTTCTGAGGGCCTCTGTGGGACGTGGTGCAATCCCGTCATGGCTTGGGCCCGTCTTGGGGCGCGTGTTGGCTCCGTTGGGCTGTCTTAGGGTCATATCATCTTCGGGCTCCTGGCCTGTTTTGGGCCTGTCTTAGGGGCCTTTTCGGGTGTTTTCGAACTTCTGTGGGATCCTTGCGAGATCTTTTGGCCTCTTGGGGGCCTCTTCGGGGCATCTTGGGAACCTCCTGGGGCCTCCTGGGGCCCTGTCGGAACTGTCTCAGCGCCCGTTTGGGCCGCATTGGGGCCCTCTTGAAGGTCTGTCGGACCATCTTAGGGCGATCTTTGGGGCATCGTGGGCCGTCTTGGAGCGTCGGGAAGCCGAAAAGGGGAGAACTCCCAAATCCCCGACAACCAACGGAAAATCAGTGAATCCTGCCTCGTGGGGCCCTCTTGGGAAAGCTCTCGGAGGCCTCCTAGGGCGTCTTGGAGCGATCTCTGGAGGTATGACGGCTCCTTCGGGGTCGTCGTCGTCGTCGTCTCGAGCGTTCGCGGGCCAGAATGCTCCTGGTCTCTCTCTCCTTCTCTCTCTATCCCGAGCTCTTGCCATCTCTGGTGCGCTCGCTGACTTGGTTCCGTCTCGACCAGCATGCGCACACCCTGCCGCCGTGTACAGACCTGCATGCACCGGACCATGTCTGCTGGGCCTGTTGTCCACACCACCACTAGAAGTTGGAGGGGGAGGGAGTCCTCCTCCTCCTCTTCCTCCTCCTCCTCCTCCTCCTCCTCCTCCTCTCCTCATCCTGCACCTCCTCCTCCTCCTCCTGCACCTCCTCCTCCTCCTCCTCCTCTCCTCATCCTGCACCTCCTTCCCCCCTCCAGCTTATGGTGGTGGTGGTGGCAAACGTGCCCATCGATGTCCTCGACTGCTGTCGGCTCCGCCGGCGCTCCCGCCCCTCGAGCGGGCGCGCGCACCGGAGCAGCAGGCGAGCTGCGCACGTCCGGGGGCTACGAGGAGGCGCTGCGCGACATCCTGGTGGCGCTCGTGCGGCGGCTGCAGACGGGCATGCGAGGCGGGCTCCCTATGGGCTCCCGAGGGGGGGGGTCCAGAGATCCAATGTATTGAAAAAATCAAGACGGAGGTTTTTCGTTGATTTCGGCCCCTAGGGGCCCTCGCCGGGCCTCGGGACCGTCAAAGAACGATTCAGGATGAAAAACCGGTCCTGGGGAATGGGTCGAGACCTTATAGTGGGCCCTGGAAACGACGGGGCCGTTTTTTTTACCGGTTCCGTTTTGCCGTGTTTTCGCCGGTTCCGACGCCGTTTTGTTACCGGTTCCGTCGCCGTTTTTTGACCGGTTCCGTCTCCGGTTCCAATCCTGGAGCCGTTTTTTTGCCGTTTCCGGTCGCCTTTTTTTGCCGTTTCCATTTTCAAGGGACATTTTTTGGGAAACGGTGGACTTCCGGGGGACCGCACATCGAAAAAATCACGATATATCGGATCTCCTCTCGGGGGGGGGGGGGCCGGAGAGGGCCTCGCGCCGGGGGGGTGGGGCTGGCTCTCCCCGCGGCTCCCTCAGAGGCGCCGACAGGGGCGAATAGCCCAGTGGAGAACAATACATGTATCCAGAGGCGCCGATGATCTATGTTTAAGTCGGGCCTGTCCCCCTACAGGGGGATTGTCGACGAAAAATATAAAATACCCCAATATTTTTTAAAACAATCCAAACATAGTCTGGGGACTCTTTGTTGGGTATGTTTTCCCCTTTGGGAGGCATTTTTGGGGTATTTTTTTTTGGTTCGTCGAACATGCCCCTGTAGGGGGACACGCCCGACATAAATCCAGGGGCGCCGATGATCTATCTCTTCGACAAGGCTCCCGGGCGAATAAATGTAATGCCCGCCCCTGGGCTATTCGCCCTCATCGTCGCCGCCGGCTCCCAGGGGCAGTGTCCAGAGCACCAGGGCCACGTCGCGTGAAGGATGCAGCTCAGGTCGGCCACGCGCAGAGGGGGGTCGGGGGGAGGGGGGGAGGCTGCTTAGAAGCAGAGATGGCCCGCGCCTTGTAAGAAGCAGTCTGCTTTTTCGAAGCCTTCCCGCCTCCCCCTACCCCCCTATTGATCAGGACGAGCGGCGGGTGCCCGGGAAGGGGCCGAGAGCTCCATGGGGCTGGCGACCCGAAGCCATCGTGTCGTCGGAGGCCTGCGGCAGTCTCTCGGCGGCGCGCCTGGGGGGAAACGAGATGGGTCGGTACTTCTCAGAAGGCTCGGAAATCCCCTGACCCATCTGGGAAGTTCTCTACAGTCGGGGCGCTGAAGAAGGAACACTTTGCGTTGGGGAGGGGCTCCGTGTTCCCTAACTGTTTCACAGTTGGTCCTCGGTGTTCCTTAGGCTTTCGATGGGAAATCGAGGTTAACTAATGACTAATGGACAAAAAGGGGCCTCGTTCCTTCTCTAGGGTTCCTTAGGTCAACGCCCTGACGGTACGCCTTCCCCTAAGACACGGAAAATTTCTCATAAGGCTTCGAGAGTTTCTGAGAAGGCCCAGCGCCTTCTGAGAAGGCCTCCTCTTTCTCACCTCGACCCCTCGCTCGCCTCCGAATCGCTCTCTCTCTCTCTCTCTTTCGAGCTCTCGCTCTCTCTCTCTCTCTCTATCTCTCTCTTTCTTTATTTATTTCTTTGTTTCTCTTTCTCTCTCTCTCTCTCTCTCTCTCTTTGTCCGACAGATCCACCCAGGGCGTTCCACGAAGGGCTTCGTCTTGAAGGAGCCGAAGGGGTTGATCCCGCCCTTCGCGGGTGCCAGTGGAATGCCCGCGGGAGATGGTGGAAGTAAGACGAGGGAAGCTTATCCAGCAGAACATCGGTGGAAGCTGGCGGAAGAATCGAAGCCTCTCGAATCACGATTCAATGTTTGTCGTCCAAGGGTGGTTGCAAGTCCGCATGATGCATTTTGTGAAGATTGTCCGATTGCAGTGCCCAAGGAGTTCACGCAAAAACCCGGGTTTGCTGCGGTGCCTCTGCTGCTTCTTTGACACGCTTGCTCGCAAACATAATTCTTCGACAGGAACCATTGGCCTATCACTCGCGGGTACAGCCGGACCGAGGTATAAGATCGAGGTCGGTTTGGGGAGGGTGCCCTCCTGTTCTTCGCGCATTCACGTTAAGACTGAAATTCATATGAACCATTTCTTGGGCATGATCTGTCTCGCCATGTTGCAACGAGGTGCTCTTCTCGCAGTGAGGCTTCCACCAGTCGCTCGAATCAGTTCACGCCCCGTTCGATGCAACGTTTGAACTGTTGCCTGGTCTGGTCAAATGCAGTCGGCATCTCGGCTCTGGCACATCGGATGGTCGGGATTCTTCAGCACTGCTGCTATCTCCTGCTGGGCCTTGCCGACGTCTGGCACCAGGGACTCGCCCGCGCGCTCTCCTGCTGCGCCGCGTGTGCCGAGAGCGATCCAGGTGCTTTGCCCCCCTCTCCTCCCTTCCCCTCTCCTCGTTGTCCTGCGGCAGTCGTACCTGGCGGGGTGGGTGGCCTGTCGCTCCCTTGGGGGGGAAACGTTGGCCATCCGCTTCCACCTGGCCCGCCGACCGCTGCCCTCGCCCCTCCAGTCCCGTTGCGTTTCCCCGATGGCGACATCCCTCGACACTGCCCAAAGAACGTCGTCGTCGTCGTGGTCGTCGTCGTCGTGGTCGTCGTCGTCGTGGTCGTCGTCGTCGTCGTCGTCGTCGTTGTGGTCGTCGTGGTCGTGGTCGTCGTGGTCGTCGTGGTCGTCGTCGTCGTCGTGGTCGTCGTCGTCGTCGTCGTCCGTCGGTCCCTCTGCAGGAGGAATGTTCAAAAATGAGTCAAAACATAGTCTGGGGACTATTTGTTGACTATGTTTGAGCATTTGGGGAGCAATTCCTGCATATGTTTCCAAATCTCCCTGTAGGGGGACATGCCCGACTTCACCCCAGATGCCTGGCAGCGGGGCCCCCAGAGGTCCGACGCTCCAGGGGAACTCGGAGCGGGCGGTCCGGGGCAGTGTTCGGCCTCGGAGGGCCCTCGCCGGGCCTCGGGAGCGTGAAGGAAGGACGCGGGACGAAAGACCCGCCCCGGGGAAGTGGTGCGGGCTCCTGCAGGCCCACGCATCGGCAAAGTCGTATGGATCCACCCGCGTGTGCTTCCAGATTCCTAGCAGGTGGGCCAATCTTCCACAACGACCACCACAGGTTGGACGGGGGAGAAGGGCGGATGGGGAGGTCCTCCTCCTCCTCCTCCTCCTCCTCCTGCTCCGCCTCCTTGCTGATAACTGTTACTGGGGCTTCTTTTCCTCCTCCTCCTCCTCCTCCTCCTCCTCCTCTTTCTCCTCCTTCTCTTTCTCCTCCTCCTCCTCCTCCTCCTCCTCCTCGTCCTCCTCCTCCTCTTCCCCCTCCTCCTCCTTCTCCCGGCCCATCACTGGCAGCGGGGCCTGGGCGTCCGTACGGCATTGGCCGATTCGGGGTCCGATGTGCTGCTGGATGCCAGAGGAGGAGAAGTGCTTTCGTGTTCGCTCTTGGGGGGCCTCCTGGGAGGCCCTCGTCGCCACCGCTGGATTCGCTTCGAGATTTTGGTTGGAGCGTACCCCGGGAGAGGTCCAGGGAGCAGCGGCATCGGTACCTTCTGTTGGTTTCCCCAGGATGTGCCTCTTGTTGTTTGCGCTGGGCTTGGCGGCGGCCATGCGCCAGCTGGGGTGCTGTTTGTTCCCTCGCAGGTGGGCAGCGGGGCTACACGCAGGGGATGTCGAACATCGCCGCCGCCCTGCTGGTGTTCGCCGGCGACGCCGAGGACCGCTCGGGCCGGAGCCGCGGTGGTGGGGGAGGCGGGCGGCGAACACACGAAGAGGATGTCCGACCCCCCCTCGGCCCCCCCGATGCCCGTTGACGCCCGTCCTCCCCCCCCATTGGAAGAGGAAGGCGACGCCGACGGCGCCGACGACGCCTCCTCGGATGCCCTCGGCCCCGTTCTTCCCCCGCGCCGCCGCCCCCCCCCTGGACACCCTTCGCGTCTCGGACTGGCAGCGAGAGGCGGCGAGCCAGCCGCCAGCGGAGCATGGGGTTACACCCAACGAGGAGGAAGAGAAGGAGGAGGACGGGGAGGAGGACGAGAACGAGGAGGAGGAGGAGGAGGAGGAGGAGAAGCAGGAGGAGCAGGAGGAGGAGGAGGAGGAGGAGGAGGAGGAGGAGGAGGAGGAGTCGAACCACGATGACGGCGACGGCGACGACGGCGACGACGGCGACGGCGAGGGGCGGCGGCGGCGGCGGAGGGAAGCGGCAGCCGGGCCTCGCCGCGCAGGACGCCTTCTGGCTCCTCGTGGCCCTCGTCGAGCGGGTGGCCCCGCCCGACTTCTACGCGGAGCCGCCCGGCGCACTCAACGGAGCGCTGGTGGAGGCCAGCTGGGCCCCGGGGCAGGGACCTCCACAGACACGATCGCGTCGTAAAACAAAAAATCAGGACGGCAAGTTTTTAGCCAGTTTCGGCCCCAGGAGGCCCTCGCCGGGCCTCGGGGCCGTCAGAAAACGACTCAGGACGAAAGACCGGTCCAGAGGAGAGGGTCGGGGCTTCCAGGGGCGCCGTCTTGAAAAAGTCAGGACGTCGCATATCTGGGTCTGCGGCAGCGGTGACGATGTTGACGTCGATGCTGGGAGCTCTGTGGGCAGGTCTAGAGGTTCTCTCGATGCCCCCCACATGGGGTCTGGGCAGATGGGGTCGGAGGATGGGGCTTCTCGCGCCGCATCGGCGATGCGGCTTGACGTGGAGCCCGCTTTCTCTACGGCGGCCTCGCCGATGCATCGGCGATCCAGTGCAATCCTCCGCCCCATCTGTTCGGACCCATTTAGGAGGCCTCTATTCCCCCACGTCGCCGATGCGCCGCCGACGCATCGGCGATACATCGGCGATCCTGCGCAATCCTCCGACCCCACCTGCTCGGACCCCATCTCGGAGGCCCCTGTTCTCGTCGCCGCGGCCAGTCGCATCTGTGGACAAGCTGGCCGGGGCGGACCCTGGGGCAACTTGGCGGCCCTCGTCTTGTGCGGTGCCAATCTTGGTCTGGGGCGGGGCGGTGGCGACGAGCGGGAGGAGGAGAAGGAGGAGCTTGAGGAGGATAAGGATGAAAAGAGCTGGAGGAGGAAAAGGAGGTGAGGAGGACGAGGAGGAGGAGGAGGAGGAGGAGGAGGAGGAGGAGGAGGCGGAGGAGGCGGAGGAGGAGGAGGAGGAGGAGGAGGAGGAGGGAGGGAGGTGAGGAACGGGGAGGAGGAGGCGAAGGAGGAGGAGGAGGAGGAGGAGGAGGAGGAGGAAGAGAATGAGCAGGAGAAACAGAGTGACAGAAGGAGAAGGAGAAGGAAAGAAGACGGAAGAGGAGCAGGAGGAGGACCATCTGGAGGAGGACCAACAGCAGTAGCGGAAAGGTGGAGGACGGGGGGCATGAGGAGTGGGAGGAGGAATAGGAGGTGAGAAGGGGCAGTCAGAAAAGGGAGGCGTTCTGGCTCAAATGAGCATCACGAATGGAAGGTGGACATTGCGGGTAAATTACAGCACATTGCAGCAACACTTCAAGCCACATGTTGAAGAGGAGGACGGAGAGGACGATTGGGATGGGTGGGAGGGGAGGAGTAGAAGGGGGAGAAGGGGGCGGAGAGGGGGGGGGGGGGGGGCAAACTCTGTGCGCTCGCGCCATTTCTGACATCCTGCCCCGCCCATCCCTTCTAGCTGCGGTGTATTGTTTCCATCCGCGGACAGGTGTCATCGCGGACCTGGGATCCCCCCAAAGACCCAACCGTGTCCTGCGTAATTATAGGAAGGTAGCTGCGTACACTGGAGAAGGCGGTGGCGGACGAGAAGGAGAAAGAGGAGGATGAGGACGGAGTGGGAGAACGAACGAGGAAGAGCAGCAACAGCATCAGCAAGAGTGGGACAAGCGGGCGGGGGGGAAAGGAGCGGGGCCACAACGATGAGGAAGCACCAGGATCCGGAAAAGTGGCCCGCGCTGTGGCGAGAGCGCCATCCTGAACGATGGGAGCAACGCGCGGATCCTAAGATGAGACCAGCGCTGCAGCGGGAAAACATGTTTCAGACACAGAAAACTCTTGGATGGAAGCCAAACGCCATAAAGACCAACTAATGATATCCTGTGTGTAGAAACAAAAGACTCGGAGAGAGCGAGAGAGAGTGAGAGAGAGAGACTGAGCCAGAGGAAGAGAAAGAGAGAGAGAGAGAGAGTCTGATATTTTTTGCATGAAGCCCAGGGTGTGAAGGGGGAGCAGCACTCATATGGAGCAAAGAGCGGGGAGGGGGAAAGGGGAGCACCACAGCCCCCAAAGCTGCGGACACGAGCACGGGAGCGGCGGGATCGTCGGCAGTCTGCGAGGCTCTGAAGAAGCCCGCCGCAGGCGCAAATATTTTATGCATTGCAGAACGAGCACGCCGCAGGTCGGGTCGCGAGCTGGTCGCAGGCGGGCCGCGGGGGAGGGCCAGGGCGACGATGACGGAGAGAGCGGCCACGCAGGAGGGTCCAGTTCTCTCGTCATTCTCATCCTCCTACCCCTCCCCAGCTCTCTTCCCCCCTCCCCTTCCTCCTGATCCTCCTCCTCCCCCCCTCCTCATCCCCCCTCTTCCTCCTCGCCTCCCTCCTCCCCTCCTCCTCCTCCGCCTCCGCCTCCACCTCCTCATCCGCCTCCTCGTCCATCCCCTCTTCCCCCTCCTCCGCCTCCTCGCCCTTCCCCCCCTCCTCCGCCCCCTCCCCCTCCTCCTCCCCGGACCTCCGACGCGCCTCGCGACCCCTGAACTGCTTCGACCCGCCCCCCATGGGGGGCCAGCCCATCGTCCCAGAGGCTGCTCCTGGGTCAAGTCGGGCCGTCCCTCTACAGGATGAGTATTCCAGAATAGTCAAGAAGCATGCTCTGGGGACGATTTTTTCTGACCATGTTCGACCATACTGGAGCATGTTTGGGGTATGCTTGATTTTTCCTCCCAGAAATCCGCCTGTCTAGGGGGACATGCCAGACCTCATCCCAGGCTAGGGGTGCCCCCCGGGGCTCGAGAAAGAGCCTCGGGGGGCTCCGGCGGCCGCCATGCCGGTCAAGGAGAACAAAGACCTTCGCCGCCCTGGCCTCTTGGCGGATGCGTTGGATGCCTGCCACGTCCTCCTGCTGCTGCTGCTAGCTCGGGCGAGCGGATCCAAAGGATGCAGCCCTTCCCATGTCCTCCTCCTCCTCCTCCTCCTCCTCCTCCTCGTCCTCCTCTTCCAGTCCCAAAACCCCTCGGGCAATGAAAAAATCATGGCGGAAGGTTTTTTCCAGTTTTCGGTCCCTCGGGGCCCTTACCGGGCCTCGGGGCCGTCAAGAAACAGCTCAGGATGAAAAAATTGGTCCAGGGGAATGGGTCGAGACCCTTGAGGGTCGACGTTATGAACAAAAACATTATCACGTCGGGGACCTGAGGTCAACACGCATAAGAAGGACGGGCATCCTTTCCGAAGGAGAGCCTTGCATCCTTGCCCTTTCGGCCCATCCTTGTCCTGTCGGACCCTTGCATTCTTCGCAATGGTACCCTTGAATCCTCCTGCTTATCGTAAGAGAAAAGAGTGCCATAAACATAACATGTTGGCACTCCGCGCGGATTTCTTGGATCGGCGCTGGGCCACCCCGCGCGCCAGGGAGGGGGGTCCAGCGTAGATCCAAGAAATCCGCGCAGAGCGCCAAACGTTTATGTTTATGCCGTTTTTTCTTTTTCTAGTTTTCCTCCTGAATGCCCGAGTGCCTGATGGCGAGAACCTCATCTTGACGATGCCATCGTCTCAGGGCTGGTCCCAGTCGGCCCTGGGGGGGTCGATTCCGCCAAGAGTCAAGGCGACTCCTGGAGCCTTCGCTCTAGGAGTCGCCGGCTGGTGGCAGATACATGTTGAAAGGTGGGAAGCGACGAAAATGCTTCTCCTCCTCCTCCTCCTCCTCCTCCTCACGCTTCTCCGTCCCCCCTTCCCTTCCGAGGGAAAGTGGGAGGGGGAGAGCTGACCAGGCTGGGGTGGTCAGCTTCCTGCTGGAGCACACCGGCGCCGGGAGGTTCAGCGCCGACGAGAGGGCGTCCGTGTCGCAGATCCTCACCGTCAAGATGGGGGTCGCCCCCTCTCCAGGGCTCGTTTCGATCCGCCTGGCTCGATTCGATCCGACTTCGATTTGGTTATGATTCCGATTCGATTCGGTGTCTCAACGGGGGCCTTATTCGCCAGCGCTTCTTAGAAGCACCCCTGCTTCTTAGAAGGCGCGGGCCTGATCTATAGATGTAAGGCCGGCGCCTTCTAAAAAGCAGCCTCCTTCTCGGAAGCCCTCCCCCCTCCCTCCACCCCCTTGCGCGCGCCGCCAATCATGTCGATCGCCGATCAGACTGATCGATTCTATTCTGGACCCCTCGAGGCTGGGTCGAGGATCGGATGTCGCTACCTTTACGTCGGGCCTGTCCCTCTACAGGAGGAATCTCCGAAAATAGTCAAGAAATAGTCTGGGAACGATTTTTCTAGTATTTCTTTAACCATTGTTCGGATATGTTTTGAGTAGTTTCCTAATTGTTCTTCGAACATCCGCCTGTAGGGAGACACGCCCGACTTAATCGCAGATCTCAGGCGATCGCAAACATGGATCAAAGGGGCGTGGATTAGCGACGGGTCCCGTGTCCACGGGAAATCGCGGGTGTTTTGCCGCCGAGCGAGGCGGCACCGGCTGCATTTGGGGGAGGGCACCTCCCCCGATCCATGGATTTGGCGACCCCGCGCCAAGTCCACGGATCGCTAGTCAAGGTTTGCGCGCGCCCGAGTCAAGAGGGGGTTGGCCCCTTCTCGGCCCCTCGAGGAGGGGGCGTCGGAGACGGGACGAAAGAAAGAGTACCCACTCCGCTGCCCTGAAGTCGGGCCTGCCCTTCTACAGGAGGAATATTCAAGAGTAGTCAAAACATAGCCTGGGGACGATCTTTTGACTACTTTTGACAATTTTGGGGGGTATTGTTCGAGTATTTGTTATTTCTCGTCCCAAATCCCCCCTGTACGGGGACAGGCCAGACCTAACGCTACCATCCCCTCGCTTTTCCCCACTCTTGGGGCCTCCTGCCCGCAGTCTCCCGACGCCGTGACTTTCTCAGATCGTCGACCCTCGACCCTCGAGGGCCTCGACCCACCCCCCTGGACCAGCTTCTCATGCCGAGTCGTGTCTTGACGGCCCCGAGGCCCGGCGAGGGCCCCCGAGGGGCCGAAAACAGGGACAGACCTCCCGCCATGATTTTGTTCACTGCCCGCGGGGGTCTGGGGGGGCGGCCCTCCTCACCGCCGCTGGACGTTCGCTTCGCAAGCCCAGGGCAGAGCGCACCCAGGGGGGAGGCCCACGGAGCAGCGGCATCGGTATCATCTTGATTGGATGCCCCCGCGGGGGCGAGGGTCGCGGCGCTCTGGGACGGTGCCTCGTCCGCGCCGAGAGGGGGCGCTCCCTGCTGCAGTCGGACCGGATGTTCCGCACTACAGCAGGACCGCGGCCTCAGAGCGAGGTCGGCTCTGGGAGGGCACCCTCCGGTTCTCCGTGCCTGCTGGACGTTCGTATGCATCCGAGGTTCTCCGTGTCTGTTGCATGTGCTTCCTGCTTGTTTGGCTGTTCTGCTAGTTTTGACCGACGCAGGGCCTCGTGTTCGTGGGGGCTGCTCTTCTGGCCGAGGTCCGACCGTACGTCCACCGGTCCGGAGGAGCACACCCAGGTGAGCTCAGGTGTGCGGGGGCCCTCTGGGCTTCCCTGCTTGCCTCCTGCCCCAGCGCGCAATCCCGCGCGGGCCTGCCATCGCTTTGCAGCGTCCTCAGAGCCACAAAGTGTTGCGCACGTGTACAACAAAACGGCTCCCGATCGTCTCGCCGCCACGGCCGGCTTCGAAGCCAGGAACCGCTGAGCGAGCCCAGCGAGCCCAAAAGCATAAGCAGAAGCACTCGGAGGTCCGCGCGGATTCTTGGCTCGGCGCTGGACCGCCCTCCCTGGGGCCCCCCCCCGGCGCCAGGGGCGGCGCCGCAGGCGCCGCCAGGTTGGGCCCCGTCGCCGACGCGAGGATCCGCGCGGACCTCCGAGTTTGTATGTGTACGTCAGGTCAGTTCCCTAACTCGTGGTATCTGCCAAGCGTGCGCTGTTGCCTCCTGAGCGCGGTGGTCGTCGTCGTCGTCGGGGTCGCCTCCCTCCCTCCTCTCGCAGCTTCCTGCCCCTCGCCTCGTGCCGCGCGGCCGCGCGCCAGGGGACGCGCCAGGGGAGGCGCCGCGGCATGCGCCTCGGGGCGCGCCAAGGGGGCGTCCAGGGGGCGTGCCGCGGGACGCGTCGAGGAGCGCGCCTCGGGACGTGTCGGGGGGCGCGCCGGGGGGGCGCTCCGTGGGGGCCTTCTGCAGGGAGCGCCCGCCCGGCCGGGGGGGGCCAGCCCGCGGGCCGGGGCGGCGCGCCACGGGGCCGGCCGCCAGGGGGCACGGGCCAGGGGGCCACGGGCCAGGGCACGCGCCGGGAGACGAGCAGGGGTACGCCCTGGGTGCCTGCAGGGGGCCTCCGGGAGGCGTCCTGGAGCCTGCACGGGGCCTCCCGGAGCCTCCCGGGGCCTCTTGGGGCCTTCTGGAGCGTCCAGGTGCAGTCGTTGGCCTCCTCGTTATGCACCGACGATTCTACGCTGGGTGTGCTTGATCCTAGAGTTGGCACGCACGGGACCCACTCTCTCTATGTACCTTTCTTACTCCTGTGTTTCTGGATGCTTGTTTGTACCGTGTGCCTTAACCTGCTCAGGGTACCCATATGCGCGCGTCAAAGCCTCGAAGCAAACCTGGAACGACGATTGGGCAAGCCTGCCACAGGGCAACCATCGGAACACACATTGAAGCCACCATTTAAACAACCAGCGACGCAACCACGCAACAGCCACCACAACCTCGGGGCAACCAACGGAGCATCCATTTGAACCACCAGCGAAACAACCGCGGAATAGCGAATAGCCACAATGTTTCGACAGAGCCAACACAAGACAGACGTCGGAACGAACCAACCAGCGAAGCAACCAAAGACCACGGGGCAACTACGGAAGCACCACTGGACAACCACGAGACAACCACGGGACAACCACGGAACAGCCACGGGACAAACATTGGACAACCGCGGGGCAACCTCGGGAGGCCCCAGTTGGCGGCCACTGGCAAGGAGGAGCACCATCTCCGAGGGCAGCTTGCCTTAGGACGCAGCTAGGTCCTGCCTCGCCCCCGCACAGGTTCGCCTCGACCGCAAGCGCGCCACGCAAGTCGAGCACCGAGACCGGGACCGATTTCCCGATTGGGGGGCTGCGTCTCGCTTGCTTCGATCTCACCTGCCAGCCCCCCGACCCAGACACCCTCTCGGGTAATGAAAAAGTATCATGGCGGGCGGTTTTTCCACATTTTCGGCCTCTGGGGGCCCTCACCGGGCCTCGGGACCGTCAGAAAATGACCCAGGATGAGAATCGGGTCCCGGGGAAAGGGGTCGAGACCCTTGAAGGTCGACGATATGGAAATATCATGACGTCGGGGGATCTGGGTCACCTGCCAGCCCACGATGTGCCCCCGCGCGACACTACGGCAGTAGATCACGCTCCCCTGCCGCGGGAAGGTCCCTTTCCTGGTAGACTGCGTGCCGCCCGCGCTGACGATCGCCATCTGGGACCACATCCAGGGGAGCGAACAATGACATAAGCATAAGAACTCGCATGTCCGCGCGGATCTCTCGGAGCGGCGCTGGGGCGCGCGGAGCGCGCCAGGGGCGGCGCCGCAGGCGCCGCCAGGGGGGGCCCCAGCGCCGATCCGGGAGATCCGCGCGGGCCTCCGAGCTGATATGCTGGATGTCATGGTTCGTTCCCCTCGCATCTTCGAGGTGGACCTGAACACGGACTTCATCCTCGAGCGCTGCCGCGCCCGCGCCCCGCCGCCCTGCCCTACAGCGCCGTGCTGTCTTATATGGAGCTGTCTCGCCCGGGGGGTCCTGGTGCCGCCGATCGGAGCCGTCTGGGCCGTGCGAGCCCCAGCCCGCGGGCTTCCCATGATGTGGGGCCATTGGGATCGAGAAGCTGCGGCGATCGATCGACTAGGCGTAAGAGTGACCTTTCGCCGGAGCGAGCGGGCACGGGTGGGTCCCCAGATGGCTGAGAACGAAGCAGGAGCAGCGGTTTGCGCGCCCAGGCTTGGTCCTCCCGCGGCCCCCAAAAAGCCGCGCACCAAAGGTCATTCTCACCCAGGGTCACTCTTGCGTGTAGCCGAATCGAGCTCCGCTCGAGGATCGCGCTTCTCAGACCCCCTCGGGTAAAGAAAAAGTCATGGCTCCGACGAAGGCGTCTGTGCACCACCAGCCTGCCAAGCCAGGGCCATCCTTGGCCCCAGAATTGTGTATAGACCCTCCTGGCCTCGGCCAGGAGGGCGTATACATCATGCCAGGGCCCAGGATGACCCTGGCCTGGCACGGCGGTGGTGTACAGATGCCTTCTGCGTAATGATGCGAGGTGTTTCCATATTTTCGCCCTCTGGGGGGCCCTCACCGGGCCCCGGGGCTGCAAAAGACGACTCGGGATGAAAAAAACGGTCCAGGAGAATGGGTCGAGACCCTTGAGGGTCGACGTTATGAACGAATCATGACGGCGGGGGTCTTGGTTCGAGGGTCGAGGTTTTGGGCGTCGCTTGCCCTGTTTCCAGATCATCCTATACTGATTTTTTGTCTGGTGGCGCTTCACAGGATCCGGTCGCGACCGAGATACCTAAAAGGAGCGTTCAGGATCGGTATCGAGCGAATCGAATGCACGATCGAGATTGTGCTTGAAAGCTGGCAGCGCGCTACCGAAATTGGTTTCGGCGCTACCGAATTTGAGCGCGTCGTCGCTATACCCCGAATTCCGTTTTGGCGCTACCGAATTTCGTGATCGTCGTTACCGAAATTCGTGATCGTCGTTGCTCGATTTCGACGAGTGTGGATGTCGGTGGCAGCAGTGACTACGCGTCTTCTTGCGTTACCGATCTTAGCGTTACCGATTCTCGTGGTACCGAAACTCGATTTCCCGCTACCGAATTCCGTTTCCTCTCTACAGATTTTCGCGTCCGATCCCCTATCGAGTCTCGTTCCCCTTGTTGAAATCCACCCTCCAAAAGTTGCATGTATTCGCAATTGTCCGACGCGACCGACGAATCCGGCATCTGGTCGCGACCGAAAATCGACGAGCACCCAAACCGCTAGTTACCGTCGAAGGAGAAAACACACACAAACATAAACTTTTGTCGCGCCGCGCGGATTTCCTGGATCCGCGCCTGGACCCCCCGGCGGCGCCTCCAGCGCCGCCCCTCGCGCGCTCCGCGCGCCAGGGCTGGGGGTCCAGCGCGAATCCCAGAAATCCGCGCGCAGCGCCAAGAGTTTATGTTCATGTTCTCTTTCTTCTATACCAGAGATGCCACGTGATAGTGGCTATGTGCTCATGTGCTCATGTGCGTGCTCATGGCTCATGAGCACGCACATGGCTAAGTATTGCGATGCCACGTGATGTGGCTCATGGCTAAGTATTGCGATGCCACGTGATAGTGGCTATGTGCTCATGTGCGTTTCGTACTCAGAATTTGCTTGCTTGCTTACCAAAAGTCACTGGCCTCGGCCGATGTGGGCCTGCGCTTCTGGGAGCTCTCTTGGCGCCACAGCCGAGCCCAGGCCTCAGCCCACGGGCGCCCGAGCGATGCATCTCGACGTGGATCCCGAGGTTCGCCACGCCGACGTCGCCGAGGCATCGCCAGCCGCTGCAGTGGCGATGCATCGGCGGCGCGGCGCGATCCTCCGCCCCAATCTGCGCGGACCCTTCATCAGGACCCATGAGGAGGCCCACGCCGCCACCAGGGGGGGCACCTCCAGCGAGGGGGTCCACGATGCCTCCCCGAGCTGGGGATGGGGTGATGTCTCGAGTGAGAGGAGGGACTGATAATGCTCAAACTGCTTGTTGTTAGCGGCGCTAATTACTTGAAGCGACGGCGGATCACTTCAGACCAACCCCCCTCCGTAAGCTTTTCCTCGCTCCCAGGGCGCTCCCGGTAACGGCGCCCGCTTTCGCCCCGCTCTCCAAGAGACAGCGCCCGCGGTTGAAAACAACGGCGCCCAAATTTCAAGCGACACCAAAAAACACCGCCCAGGGTTAAACACAGAAGCGCCCAGGGTCGAAATCAACAACGCCCAAACTTCGAGCGACATCAAACAACAGCGCCCAGGGGCCGAAAACAACGCGCCCACATTCCGCGCGATATCAAGTAATAACTCCCCAGGGGCGACAACAGTAGAGCCCAAACTTCGCGCGATATTAGAAAACAGTAGCACCCTGGGTCGAGAACGATAGCGCCCAAATTTCGCGCGAGCTCTTATCCACGTCCAGGGTCGAATACAACTGCGCCCATGGTCAAAAAACAAAGACAACAACCGGGCACAGGGTCGAAAATAACAGCGCGTCGGCGTCGTCGACGTCGTCGTCGCCGTCGCCGCAGTCGCCGCCGCCGTCGCCTTCGTCGTCGTCGGCGTCGCTGTCGCCGTCGCCGTCGTCGTGTCGTCGTCGTCGTTGCCGACGTCGTCGGCGTCGTCGTCGGCGGCGGCGGCGTCGTCGGCGTCGTCGTCCGCCCCTGACGTGGCGGCGCGGGTCCGCGGCGAACCCCGCGCCCCCCTCGCCCTCCTGCGCTCCTGCTCCTTTCCCGGGTTTCCAGGAGGAGGTCCCTCTATCACTCATCGTCGCAGCTGGACCCTCGCCAAAACGCAGAGGAGGAGATGAGGGGGAGGAGGAGGAGGAGAGGAGGAGGAGGAGGAGGGAGGAGGAGGAGGACTCGGAGGAGGAGGTGGATTTGGGGAGGGAGGAGGGAGGTCGCCCCGGGAGGCAGTGAATGCGAAAGGACAACGCCGAGTCTGACGCGATCCGCCGTCGGCCTTCCTCACGCGAGGGGGGAGGGGGAGGAGGGGGCGTGGGTGGCGAGGGTGGTAAGTCAAGTCGGGGGAGGAGGAAGGAACGAGAGGAGTGACGAAATTGGGGCAAGAGGAGGGGGGGAGGAGGCCAGAGGATCCAGAGGATATGAGGTAGCAGTGCCCGCGGCGCCCTGTCCCTCCGCTTTGCCGCTGCCGCTGCTCTGCTGCAGCCCCTGGGGCCCAGAGGCCCCGCGAGCCCGGCGCCGCATGGGTGGTTCATGGGCTGCCATCCCTTGGTGTTGGGCCAAGTCGAGGCCGCTCTGAGGCGGCACGCCGTGTGGTGTGAGACAGACCTTGCGCTCCCTGCGCACTGCATCCCAGCAATTGTTGAGACGGTGTGCGGCTGCAGTTCCCGGGCAGCCAGAAGTCGTTCGGCAGCTGCCCAGCAGAGAGTTGCAAGTATTGGTGGTTGCGGTATGTTCGTGCCAGTTATTGCGTTGGCTATAGCCCTGGAGTCTGGGGGGGTGCGAATTCCATCAGATGATTGGTCGTCCTTGATCGCTCGAATGGGCCCTATGCCAGATCTGCCAGTGCCAATACCCGGCCCAGCTGAGCCAGACCCCCCAGCGTCGTCATCAGCGTCATCAGCATCAGCGCTGGTGCCGCTGGCGCTGCCCCCCCCGTCGGACCCCTCCGAGCAGCAGCTGGCGCAAATGACTGCAAGATCCTCCCGATCGTCGGCTTCGTCGACGACGGGCCCCCGGACCGGCCTCAGGACGGCCCCGCCAGCCCGCCCACCGGCTAAAGGTGATGAGGTGATGAGGTGATGAGGCGACGAGGTGATGAGGTGAGGTGATGGTGCCATGCGACGGGAGGGGGGGGGGGAGAGAGGGAGAGAGAGAGAGAGAGAGGGAGGGGGGGCCGAGGAAATGAGGAGATGAGGCGGAAGGGCGGGTAGGGGGGGGTCCAAGGACCAAGGGGAGGTAGATGGGGTGGCGAGGCGGGCGGCGCGATGGGCTGCGGGGAAGATGGAAGGGGGGGGGGCAGCGGGGGGCAGAAGGGCAGTGGGGCAGAGGGGACAGTGGGGCAGTGCGAGGCTCCCCCGCCCCCTCCCCCCGCGGCGCTTTTCCCCGCGGCGAGGAAGCGTCGCGCACCCAACGAGTACCTCGCCATGAGTCACCAGGCGCTGGTGCAGGCGCGACGCCTGCCGCCAGCCGCCCGGCGGTCCTTGCGAGGGGGGGGCGATGGGGGGCGAAGGGGCAGTGATTAGGGATGTTTTGGTAAGTGGGCACACCGGGAGAGAGCCAGGGGGCGGGGGGGGGGCGAGGGGGAAGTCGACGAGGATGGGGCGGGAGAGGGTGGACGAGTGAACGAGTGAACGGAGGTGAGCTTGCATGAGGAACAGGAGGTCCTCCTCCTCTGCATCGTCGTCGTCTCGTCGTCCTCAGTCCTCTTCCTCCTCTCCTCCTCCTCCTCCTCCTCCTCCTCCTCCTCCTCCTCCTCCTCCTCCTCCTCCTCCTCCTCCGCTTCCTCCTCCGGCGCCTCCGAGCCCTCGAGGAACGAGGTTAGAGAGTTCGAGGTTGCGCGGTTGTGCGATTTCTGGCCCTTCCCGCGTCGCCGCGCCTCCACGGCTGGGTTAGCTTCGAAATCCTCGTCAAAACGTTAAAACGCCTCAGAGGAGGAAGGGGGGGGGGGGAAGAGGGGGAGGGGGGTGAGGGGGAGGCGGTGGAGGAGGAGGTGGAGGAGGAGGAGGAGGAGGAGGAGTAGGGGGAGGGGGAGGAGGAGGATCAGGACGAGGAGGGCGAGGAGGACGAGGAGGAGGGGGAGGAGGAAAGGAGGAGGAGAAGGAGGAGAAGGAGGAGGGGGGAGGAGTCCAGGGAGGGGGATGGGGGAGGGGGAGGGAAGTTGGCGCGTTCGACCGGGGCGCGACGCGACGTCTGCGCCGCGAGGTGATCCTGGACAGGGACCGCGAGCTCGCCGCCAAAGAGAGCGCGATCGTTGCCTTCCAGGCAGC